AAGTGGACAGCTTCACAAAACAGTTTGAAAGTAAATGAGCAAAGCATGGATTGGATACGGGAGAGGAAAGAAAGATGGAGTTTTCAGGCTTACGCAAGAGTCCTTATGTCTGAGATGAGGGAGCAGGTGAAAGAGAAGGCTCAGGAAGGGAAGAAGAAAAGTTCAGTCTTGAATATTTCAGGGTGGAGATCTCATGAAAAATGGTAACAAGGCAGCCAGAGCACTTGTATCTCTCTGCGTGGGAGATATAAATTTGGGAGTTGGCAAATGGATAGAATTTGTAGCCCAGGGAGAGATGAGATCACCAAAATCAAGAGGTTGTGAGTAAGCAGAGAAGCTCTCTCAAGGCTGAGCCCTCTACTGTTCAAATAGAAGGGAAAGCCCCGGCCAGAGGGAACTGAGGGCCAAACCAGTCTTCCAATGCTTATTTGACAATGGGACACTTACTTTTTTTTTCATCAGAGCTTCTCAGGGGACCCATGTATCCTGAAACAACCTTTAGGGAATGGTAATCCAGCTCAGTGGTTTTCACTTGGAAAGATTTTGCCCCTTAAGTGGAGATTTGGCAACATCTAGAGACACTTTGTGTTGTTACAACATGGGGGAGGGGAGATACTACTGGCATACAGTGGATATAAGGCCAGAGATGCTGTTAAACATCCTACAAGACACAGGACAGCACCCGCGGCAAGAAATTATCCAGCCCAAATATCAATGGTGCTGAGGTTAAGACGTGCTGCTCTAGTTTAACGCTTCCCATGTTATGAAAACTGAAATCCAAAGAGTTTCAATGACTTGATTAGTCACATGGCACCAAGCTCTGGCAAAGTCAGTTCTAGAACCTAGGGTTTGACATAGAGATTCTTAAAATCTTTTGGGATAGATAACAGGTGAATGATGGGTGAGCACAGTGTCTTCTAATCACTGGACTACTCTAAGACCACAAATCTCTCTAGTTTTCTTTTCTTTTCATACAGGAAATGACTGCAAAATTTTATTTTCGAATCTTTCTTTTAGCATTAAGATGTCTGCTGAGTACAGCATTGAGTGTGATCTAATAGTTTAGCACTCTCAGAATGATTGTTTCCTAGAAATACAAATAGAAAGAGCTTTGTGTACACATTATTTAGAGTAGTTAAAATGTTATTGAATTCTAAAAATAATACAAGTTTTTCAAAAACAGAGGGTAAACCATGGGCTTTTCTCTGATGTACACTCCAATAGAGTATATGTCAAGTTTTTCTGAGCACTTACGATTCTGCA